GAATCATAATTTAAAACATAATAAATATTGAAAGGAAATTAAAATAATTTATGGAGCAGGTTGGTCGACAGAGTATGTTTTTCTGTTTGCACAGAGCAAAACGACGGGCGGAAAGGAAGAGGAAGATAGCTTTAGTAATTGCTTTTTCTACCCCCGAAGCAGCTTCCTGCCTTTTATCAAAAAGGCAATCTCTGTCAGTAATGGCTCAATTAATAATTAAACACATGTTTTATCTCCTCCACGCTCCTGCTATTTATTTTCATCTTCCTGACAGGCAGAACTACACAAACAGGGAAAGCGCTATCAATAAAGACGAACATTCATAACACTCGCTTTCCAGAAATGAAAGGAAAACACACAAACATGAGCCAGCTACCACAACAAATGGTCATATGTTTCCGAGATGGTGGGGAGAAATAATAAAAGTTGGAAATAATAAAGAGATATGAACGCCATTCTTCCATTCGAGCTGAAGTTGCAGTTCTGTTTCAGAGCCAAGTGGGACCCAACGACATTTACGAAACACTCCGAGAGAAATTTCCCTCGTCTGAAACGTTCAAATTGAATATATATACAAAAAGCTCCAGAGCGTGGGTGCCTGATATTCCTGCAAAGTCATTAACATACTTTACATATTGGTCAGACAGTCAGGTCTCTTCCTGTCTAACAAGCCATTCTTGGACAGAATAAGTCGCAATATGGACCACACCTTTGACTAAATGGAAATATGTGTGTAAACCAAGAGCTAAAGAGGCAGAGGAGGGAAAACAAGCATGAACAATCACCCAAACAAAGGACAAGCCTTCTGTGCTTATTAATATCAAATGACAAGCAAGGCTAAATGACTATCCACACCACAATAAGAGCTCGGACAAAGCAGCTGTGGAACGTTTACATGCAATAACAGCTGGACAGGCTTTGTCAAACAAACACAAATCCAATTCCACCTGTACAGGCTACAGAAACCCTCGCAATGACTGGTGGGTTTAATATTAGCTGCTAATCTTGAAATATACGCCTGCTCTCGCTGGTCCATCCCTGACTATGACTCCACGATCTCGGCGTTTCCACGATCCGACAGCTGCAAAGCGGATTAGCTGGTCAAGAGGTCAACTTCTATTCATTATTTAATGGGCAAGAGGCCACAAACACTGCAGCGCTAAGGTTAGCAATACATCAGCATTAACCTCGGACGAGGAGAAGAGGCGCATACAAACACACCACTACCCCCCCCAATCCCTTGACCCCTACTGGCCTCCACTCATTTTTCCGTCCCTCTATTTTTTGCCCATGCAGGAGGGGAGAAAAGCGAGTGCATTTTATATTCTGAAGGGCTGAGGGGAGGCCGTGTGCGAAGGGGAGGCGGAGCAGGGAGCAAACTTTTATTAACATGCAGCAAATAGCGGGTAGGAACAAAGGCCACTCAATGGCTATTGAATCGTGGGCCTGCAGACAGAGTGCTTGATTAGCGATTCGACACGGAGACCCTGAGCCGTGTAGCATATAATGAGTGCTTAGAGAACGACCCTGCGGCTCCCAGGGGACGGCGGTGGAAGGGAGGCAGGGAGGGGGAGCAGCATCCATCCTCTGCGGAATTGATTCGGCCAAATGCTATCAAGAAAAACCGAGTATAACGTGTGACGACCAGACGTGGCTCTTAATCCGGAATTACATACGTTACGTTAATGGTATGGACTGTAAATATTATTTATAATAAATTAGTTGGGTCAATTTGTTTTCATGGGTTGGCGCGCAGGCAACGGTGGATTAACAGCGAAAAGCGTACGACCGATGCACGTTATCAATTTGATCTTGTGCTGTTGTGGCACTAGCTGTTACCCCCTGCTTTTTTGTTGCTTTCTCACTCTCTTTCTTTCTTTGTTCTACAGTCCTAATCCACTATGTGTGGGCCGGCAAGTTTAATGGAAACAATTTATTAAGTCCGGCTTAAAATGCCATCTGCTGTTAAGCCTTCCAAAGCTGCTAAGCTCACAGTTTGGCCCGAAGCTGGCGGTGCTTCTTGCGTACAGTAATACGTGGTTTAAAATGAGCACAATGGGTCAAAATTAATCAGGATTAGCAAACCAGAAATCCACTTCACAAATGGCTTTCCACTACAATCTTCCTTCGCTATACCAACATGCCCCGGGTTTGCCTGACAGACCTCACACACAAAATGGGTGCGTCACCACTTCACTGATGGGTAAAATGAAGAGAAAGAGACCAACCCCCCTCCCAACTACACTTGGAGTCTCTAACTTTATTGTGAAGCTGGCAGATGCTGCACACTGTTCTAGGACCAACAATCACCTTATATAGATGCATTAGCTATGAATTTGCTATGCCTTCATTCAGGGCAAGAAAAACCTGGCTCTATTAGATGGAGAGCAAGCCTCTTAAAAAGTTACAAACAGCACAGCGATGGCGGTAATTATATGAGATCACATTAGAATAAAACTAAACAGCAGTTAAGCTGATACAAAAACTTGTATGTCACCACAGTACTTGACTGAGGCCACAAAATCAATCAAATCAAGCACCGGCGTGCACGAAAGCTGTTTATAGAAACAAAGACACATGGATATTTGTGTAAGCAGCACCACATGCATGCCGAGGTATTTCCCTGTAATGCAATTCTCCAACGCGAGATGTGAGCCAAGCGAGTGATCAGTCTGCCAGAAGTTCTCCAGGGCAGACCAATTTGGGGATCAGAGCGGAGCGAGCTTTGGATTGGTCTCGGCGGACGTACTGTAATGGGACACATATGCTCCTATACCCCAAAATCTAGAATAACAGCCTGGAGGAATGAGTGAATTCCATGGAACAAAGTCTGGACAACCCACATTCAACAACGACAACAGGAGAACAAGGGTAATGATACTATACATTCCTTGCCAAACGATTTGGAAGCTAAAATCAGAAGAGTGATTACGGCAATTGCAAAACCAAGTGAAAGGGCGCTGCGCCACTAACATACAGGAAATTCGAAAATAAACTTAACAATTACTATTTTTACGGTTTCAGCTAAACGCTTAGCCAGACGCCCTAGACCTCTTAGACTTCAGAAGTTCTGGAAAACAGAGCCAAAGTTTTCCAGGATAGACCTAAAAGACACCAAACTGGAACTACAGCGAAACTACTGGATGTATAAAGTTACGAAGACTGAACTTAAACTGTCATGAAATCTATGGATATCAAAGGCTCTGAAGTCTGAACTTGAAGAATAATGCAAATTCTTGGACATCAACTAGCGTTTTGAAAAATGTTGGCATTTTTGATCAATTTTCACTAAATTTTCATGGCCTCCAGCTAGTTCCAGCAAACTGGAACTGTTATGGAACTAAATGGACATCAAATGTTACGATGTTATGAAGGAACTTTCGTGAAACTTAATGGATATCAATGGTTACAAAGTCTGAACTGGACCTGGATATTAAAGATTACAACGTCAGAAATGAAACGTTATCATTTAAAATATTATCGTCAAACATTATTGCTTTCAAAGGTTATACCTCCATGCGAAATCTCTACAGACTCTAGTACGATAATATTTATTCCCTGCAGTCCTAAACCACTTAATCCACATATTCCTACTCTTGGTTTTACATTTGTTTCTAATCCTAATCTGGCACTTCCTACTACTTTCTGCTTTCTCTATATCATCTCTTTGATCCCTAGGGAATGTGTTTGCACGACACACATTAGCAGGATTTTAAGGAAGATGCAGTTCGTCTCGCCATCAGCCGTAACACAGATTAGGGAGTCTGTAATATCAACAACAACAACAAGCTCTTCTGGTGACATCAGAAGAGCTCAAACCATGTGCTCTGATCTACTTTTAAACATGTCAGCTGTTGCACAAGTCTTTTCCAACAGTTATGTCTGGAAGTCATCCACAGACATGAAAAAAAGGACTTTAATTTGGACCCCGACAGTAGTCACAAGTTTTACTCTTCCTCTGAGCTCGACTTGTCTCTTCTCACTTCCTCTTTTCTCTGTTTTCAGAGAGTGGGGGGCAAAGGCTCTCTAAAGGATTCATGCCGGGCATCAGAAGTGCAGCATTAAACTAGACAGCTCCTTCGCACTGTGCAACAAACAGAATTCGTTTCACAACTTAGTTCCCCTACAAAACCTGGATGTGAACCAACTAAAAAAAATCTTCTTGGGCCGACTTCCTACTGCTCTCAGCTAAACTTTTGCTACTACTGGAAACAGTAAAAAGTAGCTCAGATCCGCATTAAAAGCAAACCTCTACCAGCAGCCACTTGAAAACGAGTCAAAAATACAAGGAAACAAATAAGGATCCCAGCATTTTTACAGTCTCATAGGATTTTAACAGGCTTTTAGCAGGATTACAGAGCATTTGAGATTTGCTGTCTGGTATTGAGGTCTCAACTTGTAAACCCACCCCACCCAAACCTAACAACCCCGTTCTGATGAGGCTGATGGCCTATGACTTGCTTCTACCATATGTACTTCTACACATGTGCAACCTAACAAATGCAGCATTTGAAGGGAACCTGGAAAAGATGGGTATCTCTTTGTCTCCCAAGCACAAAAAACCCTTCAACATTTATGAAAAAATGAGAAAAACAGAACAGCACCATTCCGGCAAGAGGAATGTTACTCTTGTGGAAGAGATATGGATTGAAAATGAGCTCCTGGTGGCCTTTGGGAGCATACTGCATATTGTCAGGCTTTGGGGGGGAAACATTAACTTCAACACCAAAAACATAGCCTATCAACTGCTGCCTGAATTGAGAACAGAGCCTACTAGAATGCAAAATAAGGAGACAAGGGTTTAGCTGTATGAGTTTTGCTGTAGTACAGTATGCATTATGCAAGTATCTTGAATATTGAAATGACAACCCTGGGCTTTGTTTTCAAAACTTTGTTTATGAATGGGGTAAAAGGTCAAATCAAGCTTAATCATGTCTAAAACATCCAATGCAGGAGAAATGACATTACATAGCATCCACAATATATATTCATGCTCTTACCTTTAGGTGCAGTAGGCGAGAAAAGCTTCTCTGATCCTATATCAGATGCCTGCAAAACAGAAGTGAAACACAATTAGGCCATGTTCAAGTAAAGTTCCTTTTTAAACAACTGCTCTCATCCTCCCCTTTTTTGGGGGGAAATACAACAATATTGGGGGACACCGTTGTGCCAACCTAAAAATGTCTACCAACAAAGAAAGAACAGAGAAAGAAGAAAAACCAGAGGAGAATGACGTAAAAAGCCAACAGACAAATAAAACACTGTGCGAATGTTTAAGCGGAGCCAACTTGCACAATTTTCCACATCCTTACTCTTAATGATTTAACAAAAGAACACTGATGGATGGTGACCTCACAAATCCTACCCGCAGATTAGAATGGGGAAAAAAAGTAATCTCCCTACAAAGTGACTTAAGTGCTATGTAGACTAAACACAAGTACGCTTTTCCTTCCCCTCCACGTACCAGAGCGTGTAGTTTCTGGCAAGCAGCGAGAAAAAGAAAACATGCCATGCTCTTACAAAAACACACAGTCATTGACAGACAGGACATGGGGCTCTTAACGAAGAGAAAGAACTCTTAAATTCTTCACACACTATGCACAAGGGTGGTGAAGAATTCCGGCACACACATTCCAGCTTTTTCTTAGAATAGAACTATAGTCTATCAATACAAAACACACACTATGGATTTCATTTAGCAAGAGAGAGCAGACAGTCATGCGTTTACATATCTTCTTATTCTGAGCTTCATTTACCTATATTATTATCCCTATTATCATATGCTCATGCTAAAAGACAAGCAAGAAGAAAATAGCACTGCTGTAGAAAAGATTAATTTGAGAATGTGGTTACACTTTATTTTAAGGTGTCCTTGTTACAGTGTAATTATACATTTAAGTACCGAGTAATATTAATTAACTACATGTACTTACTATATGGTTAGAGTTACGGTTAGGGTTTGGCTTAGGGTTACTTGCATGTAATTGTGCATAATTTACTGTTATTATAATAGTAAGTACATGTAAGATGTATAACAAGGACACCTTAAAATAAAGTGTAACCAAAAATGTCACCGTCTCATTTTTATATGCAACATACTGTATGTGTAGTGTTTTCTGATTCTGCAAGACCACTGTTTGTCTGTTTGAATCTTCTGCAGACCAAGTTTCTAGCTCCATTAATAACTTGTTCTTTAGAATGTGTACTCAGTCTAATATGCAAAACCTCATGTGAGACCAGACCCACGGCGTGGCATAATTTCTGAGACCTCCGCTGATGTGAATCCTGGACTACATTAATAAAGAGCTCTATTTCAGCCCCATAATTCACTATGTCAGGGGACTAATTTTTCAGCAAGCGGGATTTTTTACTACACAAGCTCTCTGTGTCTGAGCGCTGGAACACTTTAGCTCACACACCCGTAGGATTACATGAAAGAAAAGAGGTTCAGTTGAAACTGGGCACGTAGCATATGCATAAGCCTCGGGTTTGGGCAAAGACTGTCATTAACGTCTGCCTGGCGCGCGACTTTAATGTTGAAAAGGAACTTTCAATACAATGATCCGTCTATGAAAGGTATTCTTATGAGAGCTTAAAACAAGAAAAGAGCTGCCAGAGAGATTAAAAAAAAAAGACATTTATGGTGGCTGCATTTCACTGTTTGTATTTTTTGCCAGTGAGCTCTTCTACCGAGCAGCCTTTAAACTGTGTCCCTACAGGCCAGAGGTCAAAGGTTACTCATAACAAATTCTTTACACTCTTACAACGCAGGGGGGCCGAGCGGTGATTAAAGTACAGAGTGATCAAAATGAGCAGGAAAGGAGAACGAACAAGAGAGAAAAAACAACGCAAAGACCCTGCTTGCTAAAGGAAACAGAGGGGCTATAACCATTTCAAAATTGAGGAAATTGAAGCCACATTGCTGGGAGCCAAACAGCGTTGGCGGGGCCACAGGAGGCCTGACCCGAGAGGACGTGTGATACTGGATCTGGAGGCAGAGAGGCCGGGCCTGGGACTCTGAGATACAAAAACTGCCCTCAGTTCACTTCTCCCATTGCACTCATTAACTACAGGCTATGATGCAGCCTCCCCGACTCTCACAGGAGGAAAACAGAGAGATGGACGGCCAGAGGAGGAGGTAGGGAGGGAGTTAGAAAAATAAAAAGGTCACGGCCATGTGTTGAGACCTGCTGCCTACAGTTGTAAAGCGCCACTGGAAGAACGAACGGGAAAGGGAAGACAGGGAGGTGAGGTCGGATTCGTTGCACCAAAACAGTGCTTTTGATTGATTGAATGTGTCACTGCTGTATAATAACACACATACACACACACACACATAAAACGTACGAATACCAAATTTCTGAAAGGTAGTGTATTTGGTGTTATTACACAGTACAAATATACCATGGTATTGCCATCACAATACTGAACATGGAAGACCAAGTTGCATCTTAATAAAAAAACTCATCAAATAAGTCTACTCCATGAATATAAAAATAATTCAATACTATATAAACAATTCCACTGAAATGCATCATAGAAGCAGTAATATAGCATAAGTAGACTGATTGTTTCCTCCTCACGCCTCTCTGTTCACCTCCGACACCCGCGGGTTCAGTGCCAGGAGAGGGTGGCACAGCGGAGCCACTGGAGGCTTCAGAGGAAGGTGTGGCACTGGTGCGGTGTCACGCTGCCAGACCAGCTGGCCAGATGCCATCAATGATCAGAGAGAGAGAGAGAAAGAGGGGCTCAGCCTGACCACACTGTCCTCTGATTAACCTGACAACAATGGGATGACCTCTACAACAGATTTTAGCATGTGGATCATGCCTGTGTTTTATCATTGTCACAGCAAACTCCTCATTCTTCCTCTCCTCCATCAGCAATCATTCCTCACGCATCATCTTTAGTCTCAGTCTCTCTCTCTCTCTCTTAAAGGGGTCATATGATGCCATTTCAATTTTTCCTTTCTCTTTGGAGTATTACAAGCTCTTGGTGCATAAAGAAGATCTGTAAAGTTGCAAACACTAAAGTCTCAAAACCAAAGAGATATTCTTTATAAAAGTTAAGAGTTAACCACGCCTACCTAAAACATGTTGTGCTATTTTCTCACTGTTTATGTAACATCATGTTGAAGACGGCCAGCTAAGGGCTGATAAACATCTCAGTCATCCCCCTCTTAAAACCAGCGAGTGCCACATCAACCTCAACGTTTTGCTTGTTTGTTCGTGTTGAGTTTGAAATGTGTGTGTTAATCTCGTACCCGATTGTGGATACGATACTGTGGGTGTGTGTTATACAATATATTATGTGAACTTGTACATAATGTTGGTGAACTGTAATTGTGTGCGTTTACTGTTCAGGAGCTCATCTTTCATAGACAGGAGGTTTCATTTAAGTTATATTCCATTTAATATTCAACTTTGTCCCAGATGCTTCTCCTAAAATTACTAAGAAAATAAAGAAGAAACAAATGAGACAATTGCTGACATACAGTAAGAGTACATAGCAATAAATATACATTATACAAGTCAGAGATTTCCCGGATATATTAATTATAATATTCATATTAGAAATTAAAAAACATAATATTTTATAGCTCTATACTCAATGCATGTAAGAGTATAAAATTTATATTATATAAATATAACAATATATAATATTATATAAATCTATCTATCTATCTATCTAATAGTAAGCCCCAATGTTAGTTCCTAATATTAGTAATTCTATTGCTTATTATTGATTATTATATAATATTTTATAGTTTTTAACAAAAACATGTCTCCAATATGGATTCATTAATTATTAAAAAAGTGGTGTGTGTGTGTGTGTGTGTGTGTGTATATATATATAATTCCCAATGTTATAATTCCTAGTATTATTAATTATATTCTTATACTTATTAATTAAATTATTGATAATATTATGTATTGTTGACATCTCTTCTGATCTCTTCCTCAAGGGAAGACTTGAATCTATGCCTGATCCAAGAAACATCTAAGAAGCAGGAGAGTTCAGCAAACGTTCTCCTTTAAATGTTCTCTCATGCACACCTTAGTTCCTCAGGACTGCGTGACTGCATGCGTGTGTGCGTTTGCCTGCCGCTGCACCCATGCAGTCATCCAGGCATACAAGCTCCTGCTAATGAAACTCCAAATTAATTATCTTCACTGTGTTTGTCCTTCTCTCTCCCATCTCCCTGCCTCCCTCTCTCTCTCCTCCTCTCGCTGCTCTGCTTAATGACCTCCTACATACTCGTTTATCATGAGCGCTGCTACATCTCTCCCCCTGCGCTCTCATCCTATCAGCCGCGGCGCAGACCGCCTCCAGTCAGAACAGGTGTGTGTGAGAGTGATTACAGCTCTCTGCCCTCTCCACTCCACAGGAGTGACACACACACACACACACACAAACTCCCACACCAGCGCATTAGACATGCATCTGCATCTAAAGCATCATTAAGATGATAATGTATTCCACTGGGTGACCGTGCAAAATTCAGGCCTACCCACAAGTCTGTGCTGCTCGCCGCGAGCGCCACACTCCACGTCAGCCGCGATTGGACGAGGGTGGAGAACGATTCCTCCGTCGAACTCTCGCTTGGCAACAACACGACGAGAACCTAAAGCGGAATCGCAGCACAGCTCCTGCGGTTTGCATATCTAAATCGCCCACAGTTCCTGCGATCCCATCTTCTCTGTTCCTCTAATTCACCACTTTCCTTGCAGTTACTTAATTTACATTTTTACCATCCTACTTGCTCGGATCTCTCTTCATTTATCTTTCTGTAGTAATCTTTCTTATCCAATGTCTTCCTTTCTTCCGTCTTTCTCGCTATAATTTAATCTCTCTTTCACGCACACATTTTCTAAATTTTTTTGCAATAGCTTCCCCCTGCTTTTGAGCATTCGCAGGCTGTTAACATAGCAGCCGGCTGGTGTGAAATACAAATTAGAAAGCTATCCGGTGAGCGTAGGGCAGACTGAGATCACAGGGGAGAGGGAGAGAGAGAGGGAGAGGGAGAGGGAGGTTAAAGATGTGTCGCA